GCCAGGAGGATGTATTACCAGAGGTGCACCTAACTTTCAGCCCAGCTGTAGATGGAAGACCAGACTTTAAGAAAATTAAAATACGAGTACTTTTTTATAAAGATAGGCTGTCATTGCTTTCCTTTAAATAGCTGTTATTTAAAACTGAGCTTTCTAAATTCTATTCACACACAATTTTTCGGACAGAAGATTTAAATAAGAGGAGATTGGTAAATAATTTTTTTAGCCCTGCATTCAAAAGATTGAGGTGGTCCCATAAGAAAAGGATGTCATCAACTTTTGCTTTTAATAGATAGTTTTGCCAAAATATTATAGATATTCTTATTGCTGATTTTTTTTTAATGTTGCTAGCATTACATTTCCTATAACCCTGCAGTAAAAATCATTTTCCCAGTAGAAAATTGAAGCAAACCTAGAAGCGAACTTGGCAATGGATTATCCCCTCCCCCGTACAGATTGCTTTATAAACGGGAACTATTAGAAAGAGCAGGTCCAAGGCTAATGAGGCCCTCCTCAAAGCCAGGGAGCCGGGGAAGCTGACAGAGCTCCGTGCCCGTGTTGAGGGAGCCGCTATTGTTACAGGATGTTTGCTGTGCTGATATTGTAAACCACATGACAGATGGGTCAAGTGCTGATTACGGTATTCTAACATTTGGAATAGCAAGTAACATATTTGATAAGCTGGCAAGTTTTTATATATGATTCAACCCACAATATAAAAGCCACGAGAATTCCAAATTGAAAATAATTAAATGAGCTGGAAACAATCAGATACCACACATTTTCCCCCAAAATGACAGATTTTGACATGTTGAAATTCCACAAAGGGAGCAAGAATAATCCCTAGCTCACTTGAACTAATAACGGCCCTTCATCTGCTCTCGCGAGGCAATTAATTCCTGCCTTTTCACAATGTTGGAGAGAACAATAAACATTAGTAGGCATCTTAGGCTTTGCAGAGATCTGGCCCATACATTGTTTTATTTGCTCTTATCAGCAACCCTGCAAGGTACACCAAAAAGATATTAATATTCTCAAATTATAGACGAGGAAACCGAAGCACAGAGAGGTTTAAGTAGAAGGTGTGAGGTTAAGTAGAAAGCAAAGCAGCATATTGAAGGTGAGAAACGATCTTCCAGCTATGACCACATCATGCCGTTCCTGCTCATCTGACGCAGCTATTAACATATAGGCGTTCGTTATTGTATGCAAGTGTATCTTGTTGTGGTCAGTGATGCTGCCACCATCATTCATGTGCATCTGTCTGGACAAAGGCGTGCAGTGTGTGCATTCAGCCCCTCGGTGTCTCCGTAGGGTGGTGCTGGTGGCCCCAGTCCGAGTCCCGTCCAGTAACGGCGCAGCAACGCCGAGAAAACAGCAGCTCTCCATTTGTGTTTAATCATTTTTGCTTGTTTGGTGGTTCTTTTCAGAGTTCGTCATCTTACTTGTCACTCTTTGTGAAAGTCACTTTGTCTCTTTACTTTTTTACCGTCTGTCTTCACCTACCTGAGCAGCTCCCCGGCCACCTCCTGGGCCTCCTCCGCCCACCCAAACGCAGACCAGCATGTTATGTCAGAGGCTCAAAGGCATGCCTAGGCCAAAACCAAGTACTGTAAACCTCTATCATTCCTTTACTCGGCAGCTTTCTAGTTTAGTTTGCTTTTCCATTCATTTTTCTTCTTGAAATTTTGGTTTGGAATACTAAGCTGAGGCTCAGGCTCTCAAGTCTGACACTCTAGGTTTTGCGAAAGAGAGCATTTATTTCCAAATGTCCACATTTTTTGTCTAGCTATGTCTGACATATGCAACATTTTCAAATCTCAATGTCAGCACAAAATAACATTGTTGTTGCATAACATTTTGCATGACGATTTTTTTATGTTATGAGCTTCAATTCTGTTGTATGAAATGTTTACTAAGTATATTGTATTTTTAGTTCCCCTTCGCCAGTGCTCCAGCTAGTTCAAGATTGGGTGATAGGGATATTGCAGTACATTTCAAGACAGCAGAAGGGACACAAAAAAATCATTTCTGAGCTCAAATTTCTCCTTGACTTCTGTTGGGGGAGGGAGGAGATGCTAGAGGATTTTGCACAATATTTTCTTTAAAGACAACATCTTAGAGAAATCTCTTTTAGTGCCGTTTTTGCCATTTAGCTACTAAGTTAGCTAAGCAAATAAAGAGGAAAAGAGTGTTATGTCTCCATAAAGTGGATTGATCTCCAGACAATGGAATTGCAGCTAATTAATAGTAAATGAAAGTCTGGCTACATGGGTTAATTGGAAGATCAAGCGTTCTAGATTAAAGGATCCTTAACCCACCTACTTTAATGCTTGCATGTTAAAGTACAATTGCAAAAGGTTTTATTAAACATACTGTCTGTATATATACATCAGGCATACACATGTCTGTGTACATGTGCACACACCCACAGAATGGCTGCGTGCACATGTACACTTTATGTGTATCTATCGATATCTATTGTAGTCGATCTAAGAGTATTGCATATTAAAACAAATCTTCAGGTGGTCCTAGCTTAAGCATCTTGAATTTCTCCAAACATAAATATCATTCACAGTGCTTACGTGAAAGTGCATAAAAATATTGATGGGAATTGTTTCATTTCTACATGATATGTCATGTACAGCTGGAATTCCCCTAGATTTGGTGAGTATTCCACCTAAAAAGACAATGATCTCTATTTTTAAAGCAAGAGATTTCAAAGATGTGCCCAAGTGGGATTCCCTGCAGATTTGTATTAATGTGCAGGCTTGTCTGGTTACTAGAAAATGTATGTAAGTGTGTGATGTGTGTATGTGGGTGTATGTGTCGAATGGGCAATAAGCATAGAATGAGGAACTTGCAAATTGATGTGTAAATGTGAATATCAACTGATAAGAAATAGTAGCCTATGCATATTTACTATCAAAATGCAAGTACCTCACTCTACACATATTACCCAAACATATATACACAGTATGTTTGTAGAAAGTCTACTAATGAAATTATCAGAGTCCATTTATAAAATGATCAATAGGCCAGGTGCCCCCACAGCATACAAATCACTCATTGTTTCTCCAAATATTGATGGCTCTGGCCCAGGCACTGTGCTGTCAGCTCCTCCACTACACCCACCTCCCGCCCTGAGTGTGGGACCGAGCGCCTAATCTGCATATCTGTGTTCCCCGCAGTCCCACCTTCGTCCCTGACCATATCCAGCCACATCGCCACCTGAGCCCGGCAGAGACAACGTAGCTTTCCATTGGCCGGAATCCAGAAAGCCCATTTCCACTCAGTCAGCAGGCCTTGTCGCACCGAATCCCCTCGCTAACCTTGCCCAGCCCCGTCCACCGCTCAGCTCCCAGAGGGGCTGGGACACTCATTTTGCAGTGTTTCACCGAACTTGCTTTTCATTATTAAATCCTAAATTACTGACCATCTGATATACTCATCACCTGTCTAACAAAGGCACAAAAAGAAAATTATGGGGCACTTTTTTTGTAAAGGTGCAACCAAACTTCCTATGATTTTGTTTACACACCCTCCATAGCCCTGGCCGGTTTGGCTCAGTGGTTAGAGCGTTAGCCCGTGGACCGGGGGGTCCCGGGTTTGATTCCCGCTAAGGGCATGGACCTCGGTTGCAGTTCGTCCCCGGCCCCAATTGGGGTTGTGCGGGTGGCAACCAATTGATGTGTCTCTCTCACGTCGATGTTTCTCTCTCTTCCTCTCTCCTTCCTGCTCTGTCTGAAGATAAATACAAAAATATCCTCGAGTGAGGATAAAGAAATAAAAAATAAACACCCCCATAAACAAAACAAAACAAACCATAACAACAACAAACCTTCCTGTGAAGCATTAGGTAATCTCTAGCACAAAAAATCCTGAAGCCAAAACATACCTGCTTCAGAGGAAGAGATGACAATAAGTTTGGCTGTCCTTTGGGTGCATGCATACCTACCTGCGGGATCGTGCTAACTGACCCTAGTGCCCGCTTACCCCAGGGCTCCCACTACCTGGGGCTTCACGTTTTGAAGGGGTCTAAGCATGACCTGCAAGAGCCCTCTAAGTTCATACTGGTTGAATCCAGGCAATTTCATTGGCTAAGGAAATCCTTTATATTTTAAACATTAACTCTTTTCTGGCAGGAAAAAACATTTGTAAGTTTGGGTCACACAATGACATTGCCAAACATTCGTGAATTCAGCTCTATAAAAGACGCCAACAGGGTTTAGTTTGTTCTTGAGTCAGATAAAAACACAGCACTTTCAGCACCATAGAAACTAAAAACAGAAAAAAAACTCGAATACACAGTTGTCACCTAACTGGTAAGATTTCAGTTGTACCCACCAGGAACACAGACCACCACTACTTCATTTAATAATCTAACCCCAACACTCTAATAATTTGATCCTTTCTTCTATCTAATGGCCCAGGGATGTCCATTAGATTTCAATCTCCTCCCTGAACAACTTAAAACAGCCAGACCGTTGACTCTGCTTTTTTTTTTAAATGAATATTCCAATACCTGTTAAACTTGCAGACCGATAATGAAAAATATCCTGTAGTGTGGGATGTTTATGGACAAATCCAGGAAACAAAGGTAGCAGCTGTCCAGATTAAGCTTCTGTTAAACCTTCCCACTTCAAGTAGCACACGCACAGGCTAGAGAGTGATATAAGATAGTACATGTATGCTGTCTTTAAAGAACGTGTGTACAAAATGTCACTCGATTCGAAATGGGCTGTCATAGTGTAGCTTACTACGCCAATTTGAAGCTGGAGCACTGCTTTTTCTTAATATCTATGATGATGATGATGATGGCGATGATAATAATAAAATGCTTACAGTTTGCTCACTACTAATTTTGTGGCTTTTAACATTTGCATGACACTTTTAAAAATAATCGGTAACTATTCAAAATTTCTTATCTACTCGTTCTAATGGCCACAAAACTAGCCTGATGCTTTCACCGAATTTTAACACGAATTCTTGTACTCCAGAAAATGTAGGCCGGTTAATCACTCCTGCCAAAAAGCTCGAAGACACAATCCGCCTTGCTGAACTAGTCATTGAAGTTCTTCAGCAGAATGAGGAGCACCACGCAGAGGTGAGCAGGCATGGTGAGAAGTGTGTCTTGCTGGTCCTTAGCTGCGGTTGCAGGACTGATTTTACTGGTGACATGTGAATAAGATGCCTTAACACCCATTTTTTTCAACTGGCCTTGCAAAGAAAATGCAAGTGGAAGGTGGGCAAGGAGGAGCCTTTGGGAGGTTGTTTAAAACAACCAGAAAGTGATTGCGTGTTGTACATTTCAGCTAAGTTTTCAGATGTTTCTAGCAGCAAGCAAAAGAGGTGAGTTTGTTCTAAATATATTATTTGAGCAGCATATAGTTCTTGTCCAGAGCACACGAAATACTTTTTGGTCTTTTGTTGTTGTTTTCGTTGCCATTATTGTTGTTTTCATTTATTGCATTCGGTGTGTGGATTGCAGGCCATGTTTTTGGATTTATCTCTAACGTATTCTTCTTGCTCCAAAGTCTTTATTTGTTAACCTTAGATGACCCGGGTGACTAGACGTGGTGACAAAAGTGAATTATTCTGTGTTGTTCAACTTGTCGGTTCTCCAACATACATCTAAATAAATACAGCTTACTTCTTTTTACAAACCACTGTCAAAATGATTGTTTTGATAATAATGATAGACCAAGGGATTTCAAAGCCAACTAAATCCCAAACCTGTAAGGACTTAAACAACCCAGCCTTTCCAAGGAAGAGTCCAAGGTTCCATTATGGTCAAACTGTGATATCACTGCTCGCTTCGACACTGAGATCTAAGATCATGTCTCTTAAGATAACCTTTCTGAAAACTGCACTAACTCTCACTCTTCCTCTCCATTCAACTCGACAGCAAAAGGGGGAGGAAAGACATTCCATAAAAGTAATTCCTCAAGCACCTAAAATGGTCATTCCTGTGACTAAATGAAAACTGACAGTACAGTTAACTGATTTCTAATACACTAAACCCAGTCATCCCGAATAATGCCTGATTGCATATTTAAATTTCCTCCTGTTTTTCTACTGTTCCACTCAATCGTGGCTGATCGTGGCAGGGGAAAGAGGTATGTGCCGAAACTGAATGCGCCAGCCACCCGCTGTCGTATCCGTGCATGCCCTTCCGGTACCGTGTCTTCCGATGGGACTTTCCCCGGGCTCCTGCTTTCTAACACTGACCGAGGAATGTAACGGCAACAGTGGGCTGCTTGTGAAATGGGGGCCCTCCACGGCAGGGTAAACGTGGGGGGATCCTCTGGTGCGTGCATGAAGCAATGAATACACCTAACCACGACTGCAGTTACATCCCGACACGTGCCCCTACCTGCCGTGATCTGTCCTCAGCCTGTGCTACCTTCCTCTGTCCGTCTGTACTCACAGTGATGAGCACCGAGCGTGGTGACCAGTAGCTACCCAGAGTGATACTAATCTTCCTCTACCACTGTCTGTATGTGGGTCATAGAGACAGTATTTATATAGAGAGAGAGTGCCAGAGAGTCACAGTCCTCCGAACCCTCCTAAGAAGGGTGCAGGCCCCTTGAGGTGGGGATAACTAACTCCTGCTGCCCCCGGCAGTGCACAGCTGGGGAGGAGAGGACAGGACGAACAGCACCCTCCAAACACCCTGAGACTAATCTCCAGACAGAAAACCAAGCTGGGCTAGAATTTTTTTCTACCCTATTCTATCTGACATTCTTTTCAGGTTGGGGCATTTGGGGTTCCAGTGATGGTAAGTATGTTCTCCCTGGGGCTCCAGAGGCGTGGTGGGCTCCAGCCCGTCCTCCCCTGACGACAAACCAAATTACACATTTCTGAAGACCTGGATATGAAGAAGATGACCTTCCTCATATACTGCTGTACTTTTAATTAAGTGAACGAACGAAAATGATAGATATGCTTGATTTGCAATCAAGTTATTTCTGAGGCTGCTGTAGACTAAGAAAGGATGACTATTTTCCCAAATTACTCCAAAGAGGTACCAAAGGAAAACTGACATTCCAAAAAAGGCAGTTTTTTTCCACTTTTCCCCAAAACACTTTTTCACTAAGTGCTAATCATCACCTTCAACTACCCTAGTAACCACGGTCATAAAAACATTTTAATCTTACATATTCAAAAGCAAATTCAGGGTAAAATAATAGGGTGGAAATCAATTTGGTTCTGTTTTCATTTATTATTTTTAGAAGTTAGGAATGTAAACGTCAGCAGACTTTGGAATTTGGAGACCCAATTTGTTTTTAGATAAATGTACAGATTTATTTCCCGACTTAGTAATTTCCCCCAATCACAAAATTTCATTGCTCAACCAATCCCAAGCTACCTGTCTGCTGAGCCCTGGGGTAACGACCTCTGTGCGTCTCCGAAGGACAAGGAGGCATGAGGCAGTCGTCAAGGAAACTTCAAGCAGTGAAAGGCAGTGGCCGGGAGCGCAGGCTGTGTGGAGAAGGTTGTGTGCCTCCTCCTTGCTTTGTGACCTCAGCCGAGTTCCTTAACCTCTCCATCCCGTACCCTGGCGGTAACAACGGATCGAAGTCAGGCGGTTGTTGTTAGCACGGAGGCTGCACCGAGCACAGCCGCTGCTGACATGCCGGCCCGTAGTAAGTGCTCAGCAAAGCGTGGCGGTGGTGCAGTTAGGAACAACTTGATAAGGAAGCAAAATATATAACAAGGTTCATACAAAGGACAGACCTAGGCGGAGAGTACCAGGTGGAAGATATAGACAGGCCGTGTCGAAAGGCGAGTGGGCCTGTTTCACGGTGGCGTTGTCCGGACGGGCACACCACCTGTCGCCGGTGTTCACTTACCGACTGCAGTCCCCTGGGAAGCCTTAACCGTTGCTGACTCTCAGGCCTCACCCCAGCTCAATGGGTCGGAATCTCACGGCGAGGGACCAAGTAGTGGTAATTTTTAAATCTGCCTGGCTGACTCCAGTAGCTAGCCACTGGGTACAGCCAGAGGTAGAATGTGCCCTGGCACATTAAAGACAAGGTTGAAGTAAGAAAAAATTTTAACTGCCATGAACTCACTGCCATATTCTCTGGGTGCTCAATAAACCACAGTGAATGACGAAATCCGGAGCTTGGATCTTGCTGTGTAGCCATGGTATTTGGTGGCACCACGAATGAAAGTGACAAGGAGACTTGCTCCCCACCAAAAGCAATAGTTCTCAAAGCCACATTAAATTTCAATATAAAGTAATTAAGTGTCCCAAGAGAAAAAATTCTCAACTGCTAAGAATACATCACATACACACGCATGCAGTGGATGGTAGCGTTGTCACATTTCTCTCTTAATTGCAGCTTAACTCTGCTCTCAGAGCCTAAATTCTTCACACACAGACACACACACACACGAACTACACTTTCATGTACTATTGCTTCAACTTCCCAATCTCTCTCTCTCTATGTATATGTCTGTATATGTATATATGTATTGTGGTAGTACACAGTGGGGTACATATATACATGGAATTTGTGTACAAAAATACAGTGTGTTTAGTGTGGTTGACTGTACCCCTAAAGCATACATCTTTGCCTTTAAGTAATAAAAAGCACTGGGTAAGTATTGAGAAGCTGAAATATAACTTCTTATTTTCTTTGGAAAAGATTTCTGAAGACTTGCAATACCCACAGACATCAAGTTAGCTCAAGTACAAAAATAGCATTCACCTGTCTGAGCAAGCATAAAATCAATAAAAATTGTTTTGTTTTTTTAATTTTAAAGACTTTCCTGCCCTGGCCAGTTTGGCTCAGCGGTTAGAGTGTCGGCCTGCGGTCCGGAGAGACCCGGGCTCGGTTCCCGCTAAGGGCACGTGCTTCGGTTGCAGTTTGTCCCCGGCCCTGGTTGGTCGTGCGGGTGGCAGCCACTCGATGTGTCCCTTCACGTCGATGTTTCTCTCTCTCTCTCCCTTCCTCTCTCTCCCTCCCACTGTATCTGTACAAAAAAATGGGAAAATATCCTCGGGTGAGGATTAAAAAAAAAAAGACTTTCCTTGCCCAATCCAGTCACATTGATTCTGTTCATTTGATGGAAATGACGGCAAAGTGTCTGGTCATCACTGCCCTTTGCCAGGGCCTCTTCCCCTTCTCCAGGTTTGATCACGAGGTTCTGAACGAATCGCCGTGTTTGTACAGAGGCAGGTCTGGCCTTCCCTGCTCCTGCAACCCCCGATTTAAATCCTCTTTGTTCACTAGAAGCCCGACTTCCTCTGCCGGAATTCAGCAGTGATCATTCATATCACCGTGGTCACGTGCCTTGCACGGCACCTATCTATATGTTTATTAACACCACGCCTGTAGACAACCGCTCAATAACTTATTAAATTCCTATGAGGGACAAAGTTCTCTATAGATAGTAAAAGAGGGTGCTGCTTATGGTCTCTGGTTTGCAACTTTTAAACAAAGGTGGTAAGAACCAGGTATGGGGTTGGGCTAAATATGTATTTTTTTAATTTCGGGCATTTAGGGCTGGTGTTTTATTTTGTTTTGTCCTATCATCCTAGAACAACAACAAAAACAAAAGTAACTGTTTTCTTAGACTGACCCTGAAAATGTAAAGTTAATCCAATAGCGGAAGAATAAGCACCAGCTAAGAGTGTGCCTTGGTGAATTTTGCGAATGCCCTGCCCCAGGACTGACCAGTCAGCCCTCCGTGTGGGGCTGGGAGTGGGAGTGGGGCTCCGGCAGATTTCAGTGGGAGAAGGTCTCTGCCGACCAGAAGGCGGGGAGAGCTCAGGGTGGGCTGGAGGGTTTCGGCCTCGGCTGGATTCAGCCGCAGTCAGTGGAGCAAGCCCCAAACCGCAGGCCTCCCATCCCCAGGTGGGAAAACTACAATAAAACCTCCTTGATTCAGACCCAGACACTTGGAATTTGTGACAATTCAATGGCAGATGTGGCTCTTTTCATCTCTCTTAAGTAAAATGTGTGACATGGTCTCAACTTTCTTTGGAAATTCTAAAGGCTCTTCTTACAAGTTTCATCCTAGGATCTGTAAAATGAAACCTTTGTGTCTTTGACTTCAAATTATGTTAATTTATCTATGACTGTTGGAAGTTTTGAAAAAACAGTTTTACGTTTATGATGCATTCATATGATAACCAGTGCATATACCTTCTCCTGTGCTGCCCAAGTACAGACTGCATTTGAAACAACAAATATCTATTTTTAGGAAGCCCAATAATTTAGGCTTTTATGCTGACAGACTAGCATCTCTCCGCTCCCATTACTCTGAATCAGTGAGGTTTTACTGTAAATTAAAATGGAAACAGCAGGTGTCTATTTCCAGCCAAGCTGACCTTGAAGAATGGTCCATGACTTGATTTTTTCCATTTAATTTGCAAACCAGCCACATGTTGATAAAGGAGAAGTAAGTAAAATGAAATCTCATGAAAGAAGAGAGGTGGACAGCTATTCTGCCTCCTAGTGGCTGTTAGAATATCCCCAAATAACTATTGATCACAGAAGAGCTTGGCCATTGAACAAACACTTTCATTTATGGAATTATTTCCATAATCATCTTTCATGTTTTCAAACGCCCTCCATCTTTTTTCGGTGAATGCTCCGGAAAGTGTTTCCAATGTAAATACTTTACGGCACTGGGCGGGGAGGTGGGGGACAAGACGAGGCTGGCGATTGTTTTTGTTTTGTTGCTGTCTTTGAAATCAGCAAAAAGGGCCTGTGGACACTGCCACTCATTCTGCATGCCCCTGCCAGAGATGACGAGTCGACATGCATGCATGCCTTCAAACCGCATTCACATCTGGCCCCGTCCGATGTGAATGTCACCCCTGAGACCCTGCACAATGATTTCCAAGGACCCACGTGCATGAAAATGAGTTACTTCACTGATATTTTTTGGTTTTCAATGTACATATGTGTCCAACCCTCCCCCCCTCCCCCCAAGAAAAGCAAGTCCTCATCTTACTGAGTGTCTCCTAGCATAAGCCTGATCTTTCCTATAAACAGGATGCAAAACCAGAGGCTCCCTGCTTAAAGACACTTCTGACTCAAAAGTTTTGTGACAATTGCTACAATGGTTTCCTTTGCCTTGGTATGAAACAGGAGTAACATGCCCAATGCGTAGGGAAACACCAGTCACTGAGCTTGTATGAGACCGCAGACAATTAAGCCCCAGACATGTAGATATAAGTGAACGATCATTGCAAATTTTCAAGTTAGACCAGCAGAAAACCCATAAACACAGTGAAGAAACTCCCAAATTCTAATACCTAAGAGCAAGAACCAGCCAAGAACAGTGATAAAGAGCATGACTCAAAACCTACTGAGTTATTGTAAACTGAACAGAAATTCCAGTCTGTCACTTCTACACTGAGTCGTCTGACCCGTGGGTCAGATGAAAGACTTTCTAAGGCAGGCCTGGAACCCTGAAAAGCATGGCCTTGGGACACTGTGAGGCCCAATGGTATAAAAAATGCTGTTCTCTTTACAATAAAACCACCAAACCCTGCTGATGCACACTTGATCTGGAACACTGAGGGCTTGACGTCCCATCTTGTGTCGGAGAAAGAAGCTCATTGCCTCTCTGTCTGTTGTTTTTCTGCCACGTCTCTAAGGCCTTTGCGTGGTGGTCGGACCTGATGGTGGAGCACGCCGAGACCTTCCTGTCGCTCTTCGCGGTGGACATGGATGCAGCACTGGAGGTGCAGCCCCCAGACACGTGGGACAGTTTCCCACTGTTTCAGCTGCTGAATGATTTCCTGCGCACCGACTGTATGTATCCGCTTTGACTGTTCGACCTTCCTAAGTAGCATGCCAATAAGCACATTGTTAAAACGTCTTTACCCAGGCCGACGACAGGCTGGACACAGCTCTTTGTAGTTTTATGATTAATTCGAAAAGAAACCGACTTACAGCTGATGGGCTTTCTTCCTTCCAACAAGAGGCCTGTGACAGGGAATCCTTCTCTCAACGAGGCAGAAGAACCCCAGAGCAGTGTCAGAAGTGGTGTCCGTGGTTTCGTTTGCTCTTGAACAAGCTAATTAACCTCTTCACATTTTTCAATTTTTATTGAAAGATGCTTCTGAGATGAAAAAAATAAAATTCTAAGTAACACCCTAAGCATCTCGGAGTATCTTACACAACACAGCCATAACGTGGACCTTCCTCCCCAGTGAGGGTGATGAAGGAAGCGGTAGAATATTCTCTCCTCCCAGTAACACAGTGGGAGGAAGGGGAGCGGGTGCAAAGAACACCTAAAAATCAGTGACGGTTGTTTTGTGTTGCTTTTAAAGAAAAATGATTCCTTTTCTTTTGTAGAAGAGGGACACAGAAGAGTAAAATGTTTTTGAATCCCATTTTCTTGCCACACAGATTTAAGCATGAACTTTGATGCTGTGCATGTACTTTTTATCTTTCTCTTTTGGGGGGGGAGGGGAGGCTATCTTAGAAGCCGTATATTTAATGTCGACAATCCTCTCTGTGTGTATGTTGTATGCTGACAAAGCAACTGTGGGTTCTTACTGAGATTTTGCTTATCTGTTCTAGATAATTTGTGCAATGGAAAATTTCACAAACACCTGCAAGACCTGTTTGCCCCACTTGTGGTTAGATATGTGGATTTGATGGAGTCCTCAATTGCACAATCCATTCACAGGGGCTTTGAGCGGGAGTCATGGGAACCAGTCAAGTAAGGAAACCTCTTTGATACCATCGGAGTTTGGGTGCAAATAGCTGGAGAGTCATACAGAAGTGGGTTAACGGTGTCTTGGGGTTTTCAGGGTTAGCAGGAGACAGAGCAAACGCTGCCTGTGTTCCCCACTATGATGCGCATAGCCTCCTTGGCCAGAGGGGCTACAGGAAAGAGGCTGAGACAAGTTTTATGAAATGGAATCTTTATTTCACAAGATGAATCAGGAATACGGGATAGAAACCCAGCTGTGATATTTGTACTGTGTTTCTTACTCCAATGATGTTTTCTCTAGGAATTCACGTTTCCCAAAGGGAGCTCCACAGGGGGCTAGGCAAGGGCTCAGCAAACTGTTTCCATAAAAGGGCATATAATGCATATTTTCGCTTTTCGAGCTCCACAGTTTCTGCCACAACTCCACTCTGCTGCTACGGCACGGAAGCCGCTCTAGGCAATAAGTAAAGGGATGGATGCGCTGTGTTCCTGTGAAACCTTATTTGCAAAAGCAGGGGACTGGCCTGTGGGCTGTGGTTTGCCATTCTCTGGTCTAAGCACTTGAGACAGGCCTCACGGAAAGGACTCCGGCCAGATATGGCTGGGAAGCTATGCAGTCCACACCTTTGTTTCCTGGGGAGCCACAAAGCACACCGGTATATTTCCAAACTCTGGAAACATGGTAATACAGAGCCTTGCTCAATTCTGCTTAATCTAGCGTTATTTGACCACAGGAGTCATTTTTTTTAATGGGCTAGCAATCTAAAGGACAAACTACAGGAAAGCCTGTGGATTGTGGAGGTAGTGATATCCGTAACTGCGTGGGGAAGCTATTTGAAATGTCTAGTGGGTTCATCGCCCCTCCATTCCTAGCGAGGAGGCTGGGACCCCAGGAGCCCAAGGGACTGCCCCAGACTCCGCTCTCTGGAGAGGTAGAGGGTTCCTAGGTGGAGAGGGCTCTGGTATGAGTTGAAAAGCTTCAATAAAGCCAACTGCTATTAGCTTTGTCCTATTAGATTCTCTCTCTCTCTCCCTCTCTTAAGAAAATCATTTCGTTTGTTCTAGTCCTTCACATCTTTGGAATGGATTGGAATGGGTGTGTAGAAGCAGACTTGCAGGCACTCCAGAGCTAGTAAGACTTTTCTGCAATTCAGAAGCCTTGACTTCTGTCTCATCTTGAAGGGGTTTTCTGAGTTAAGACCCTCCCTCTATCTTACACCGTGTAGGACTCTGACTGATAAAGACGTTCATGTAAAACAGCTACCTCGCCCCTCCTTCCACACTGGAGCCAGGAGGGAAGGGTCTCGGCTTAGCCTACTGCCAGCAGGTCAGTAGGTAGTAGCCCTTCATTGGCGAACACATGCCAAGAAGTCTGAAATTGGGCTTGTTACTCTGAATTCTATAACAGTCTCTTAATGTGGCCCTGCGATTTTTCACTCATGAGAATAAAACTGGGTCCCTTGATTAACAAGAGACGTTTTTTAAAAAGCTCATTGTAATCAAGACAGTTGTGCTTGAAGAACAGTTGTGAAAGGAAAATGCTAAAATGAGTAATATTCGCATTTTGAAAAGAGCTATGGTCTTGAAATCGCATTTACTTGCTTGGGTTTAAGTTGCAGGCCACTACTACCGACACTCGTGGGAGAAAATGATTGCTCTCTTTCACTGCTTCTTAAAGGGCCCTCGAGTCAGGGCCTCACCCTCCACTCACTAGCCAGAAGGCTAATAAAGGCATGAAATTGTTTTCTCACCTGCAAAACTGATTTTTTAAATATGTTTTCATTGATTTCTTTAGAGAGAGAAGGGAGAGACAGAAACATCCATATGAGAGAGAAACATCGATCGGCTGCCTCCTGCACGCCCCCTACTGGGGATCGAGCCCACATCCCGGGCTTGTGACCTGACGGGGAATCCAGTCCAGACCTTTCGGTCCATAGGACAACGCTCAATCCACTGAGCCACACCAGCCGGCTGCAAAACTGATTTTTTAAAAGGTCCCTACTCAGTGTCCAAGAATTGTCAAGAAGTTCTGTGACAATGTCACTAAAGCCATTTTATAATGTGTTAAATTCTTCAGAAACCAAGCAAATTACTGCTAATTCTTTTTGAAGTACTGAATATTCTTAATACTGTCAGAAGTAAAGATAGAATCAAAATCATTTTCACATTTGGAGGTCTTAGTGTGGGAATATTTTGTTGGGGATTTTTTAATGATGAAAAAAATACAATTTGAACTCATGGATCAGTAATTTAAAGGTCTGAAAATTAGTGAAAGATTAATAGTCATAAATTATAACCTGAGACTCTTTTATGTTGATGTGTTTTTTAGGAGTTTTTCACATGATTGTGGTTTGTCCAATTCATGCTAAATAGTATGTGTCCATCAGACCATGCAGAGATAGTTCAAAGTGCCAACCAAAACATAAGCTAGATGACAATTCGTGGAAGGCACGAGTTTTTACTCGGGAGTTTGTACACAGAGTGTGATGCCATGGGGCAGCCTTGCAGACGGGCCAGTGAAGAGGAGAGAGCCTGGGCCACGCTATGTGCTCCAAGGGGCCAGTCTCTCTGCCTTCCTTCCACGTGAAGAGAAACACAGTAGGAACCAACATTTATCTGACCAGCTAGAGGGCTGATAAAGAAATAGAACTTCATTTTTCTTTGTGGAGGGTTTTCCAAGAAAAGATGTGTTTTTGGAACGTTTTTCATCCAACTACTCAAAAACAAGAGACTGACTTAGATCAATAGATTCGTTTCCTCGCTTGTCTCTGATTTCGACACGTGATTCCCCCAGTATTCACACACGCGCACACAGACCACAGCCTTTCTTTCAAACAGTGGTCATGCTCAGCGCTGTTCTTCCACTTTCAACAGTCATGATTCCAGGCACCTGGTCCCAGGTTAAAGGACGGCAACGTGCATTGTAAAAGCTTCTTCCAGGAGAACTAATATTCAGAGTCTTAAAGAAAAACAGCACTCTGACAAGGCTGCTAAAAACAGATTTTAAATATTCTTCAGATTTTCTTATTTCAAAATATGGCCATGTAAAAGAAAATATAGAATCATCATTCGGGTTTGATGCAAGTTATTTGGCAGAAAGGATAGCATGGCTAAGTCCTAAGGCTGCCTTCTCCGGAAGCATGTCTTTCCATCTCTGCAAGGAGAGGGAAGGGAGGCTGGTGGCCGTTTCCACAAAGCCAGACAGAGTCACAGCAAGAGTTTCTGTGCTTTGGTGGAGAATGTCTTCACTGAGCTGCTGACACGGCCCGAGATAGTCGGCCTCTCGAAGACAGGCTTAAGCGGGTGCTCGTAGCCTGCTCCCGGGAAATGTCACAGGGGCACCACCCACAGCAGGGCAGGTTGATCACAACCCTCCCGGCAGCCCTGAATATCAGCATTTGGTCCTAACTAGCAGATGGACAACAGTTCTACCAGCTCTTTAGAGTTGGTTCACTGTTAGGTCATCGTGGAAGAAAACTCAGTGTCTGATCCAAAGCGTGCCAAGTCTAGTACCCTCTCCGCACTGCCTTGCAGCTCTCTCCCGAGCTCTACGTGAACACCTGCCGGTGCAGGCAAGCCACGTTTCGTGGCTGCCCATTTCAGGTGGGCGTGGCTCTGAATGGGAGAGCTGAACACTGCTTCTCCATGTGTATACTTGGAAAAATCTCAAAATGCACTCTATCTCTCTCTGCCTGAGATATACATATGAGAAGTATTTTTTAAAATAATAATTTTCCAGATTGTCAAGGATGTCAGTGTCTTAATGATAATAGACTGTCAACCCAAAAACACCTTAGCAAAATGTAGGTGGCCTGGTGTGAAATAGGCAAGTACTAGACATGGAGTCAGAACTCCTAATTCTGCCAGCAATTTGCTGGGTCACCTTGGGCAAGGCAGTGGACCTTTCTGAGCCTCGGTGCCCTTTGAAAAATAAAGACTTAGAAACCCAAGACTTTCCCAACACTAACATTCTAGAATATGTGAGTTTCCATGTTAACATTTGGTCACTATTGCCTCCCTGGCACCTAGAACAGGGCCTGGGACATAATAGGTGTTCAATACGTATTTACTGATTAACTGCCCTTGATTAAGGAACTCATACCAGCTGAACCTTGTAAAGATACAATAGAAAAACTATGGTAAAGAGAAAAGAAATAGCATTTCTAGATTTCAATCTAGATGGGTCTGAGCAACAGCTTTCAAGAAAAATGACTTTAAATAGCTACCAAGTATTTATCAAAGAACATAAAGAAGAGCATAGATTGGAGGGGGTGCACTTCACTGAGCAGCCGGGAAGGAAGCAGCTGGGAGCCTAAGACTCCACGAGGAGCAGAGGTGCTGGAAAAGGGCGTGAGCGGAGGCAGAAACACAGGAGTGTGGGGGATGCGATAGAAACCGAATGCTCTGTTGGGTCCGCATGGATTATGAAGGCTGGAGAAATGTTGGGGACGTTCTAAAGTCCCGTGAAGCTTGGAATTTTATTCTGTAGGTTATGCATTCTCAACGGGGGCTTTCCAGCTCCCAGAGCTGGTGACAATTGGTTCCTGGAGTGAGGGAGGGCAAAAAAATTCGCACTCTTGTAATGTAAATGCATATGCAGTATGTGCAGTAACATGCAGTAAATTTTCATGGGGAAGGCAGTTGGGTGGTCTGATGATGGAAATGAATAAAGGTTGATAAATATTGCTCCGTACTCTAAGAAGATACCAGAGCGCCTGTGCCCCAAGTAGAGATCAGACCTAAGAATACAAACTGAGAGAGACGTTCATGTCCAGAGCACCGAGATAAGACAAGATGAATTACTTATATTCAGCAATAAATGGCTCATAAAGTAGAAGACATCTGTATCTTAAATCTACCCCATCCATAAATCTAAAGCTTCTTTGAGAGAAGACACAACCATGTCATCTCCGCATGGAGACTCAGTCTCGATTATAATCAGTTCTAGAAACAAGAATGCCTGTAGCTTAGTCATTTCCACCAGTAGAAATGATGAGGTACCCACACGGTTGTAACTTTCATTCATGTGGGAGAGAGCAGATGAGGATTTTTTAATCCGATGTTCCAGAGATGGGGCCTTTTGACATGAAGGGGAGCCATTCTTTTTCAGAAGCATCTCCAAAATGAATGCATCTAATTTTTAACATATGTCAGTTGTTAGGATTGCAATTCACACTTCTACTATTCAGAGATATCCAATTATGATACTCACAGAGAAGCATGATGAAGTTTTTAGGTAGTTGCTAAAGGGCCCTCTAAGATAATAATTTCTTATGTCCATCAGCAGCTGCAGGAGCCTCATCTGAGCTGAGCGCTACTCGAAAATTTCCCCTTTTCACATGTATCTCATGCTTGGAGCTGCCTCTTTAGCTATTAATATAAGTTATTAACATCCAAATGAAATATTAGTAACATTATTAATACACTACATTATTTTGCTGAAAGCAGATTTATCGAGCACGTTTCCGGCTTTTCAAAGTAGAGCATTATAATGTCTCACAGGAAGGAAATGTTTCTATGAGTCTAGTGCATGAGTCCAGCCAAAATGTCATATTTTACAAATACAATATGTTTTGATTAATATAAGTATTTTTTAATTTTTGTGTGCAAAACGAAGCTCATGTCTAATTTGTGTGCCCACCATCCGCTAATATGTTTAAATTAAGTTGCTTTTGCATACATTTGTATGTTATTCATTCCTAGCTACTTTTAATTTGCTCAGAATTGACATTTTAACTTTCCAGACTGCCATCTCTAAAGATTTCCTAATTCTTTGATCATTATTCAGTGTGTGTATCATTTAATGATCACATTTGCTGATATAGGCTTACACATGTCTCAGTGGAAATCGCCAATGGTTTTGTTACATGGCAGTATTCAAGACTGAGAACCACCAGGGACTGAATTCAAAGGCAAATTCCCCGGTGAAATAGAGAAACATAGAAGGAAAAGTTCCATTTTCCCTTCTACTTAATAGTCATATTCAGCTTCTTCTCTTGACTGTTCCCCCAAGGGCATCCTTTAGTCCCCAGTAGAGACATACCATTGCCTTTCCCACGTGTGAAGAGTAAAGGACGCACCTGTGAGACACCTGTTTCCCTTAAGGAAGAGAATGCAAGGTTGGCAATTTTGCATTCTAGGTTTTTCCATCTACAAGCCGGGGCTATATTGTCACTGTGAAAGAATAACTTGTTTCTAGAGACAGGTGTCCAGACGACCGACAGGGGCCAGAATTTCCGACATATCAGGAGGCTCGCCCCCGACGCAAGAGCTCTGTCAGTCAAACACAGCTTGCCCGGGGCAGAGCTGCTTTGGCAAAACTCGCTCTTCTCCTGCAGGATCCAAAAAGAAAGCCTCAACTCCTTTGCCAAAGTGCTGTCAACTCTACTTAAACAGGAAGGCTCCTCTCTGATGCAGAGTTAGGCTGGGCTCTACCGTGCCAGTGACTTTGGCTGCATGGAACACCCTTAAAATGCCGCTACAGAGACGTGCAGTGCCCGCGCGGGGAGCAGTGTGTGCCACAGTCCTGCGCAGAGATGTGGCTGATTCCACTCGGGCTTAGTGTTGGTTTCATTTTCTCTCTCCGGTCACAAAGCCATTATCTCTCTTTCATCACATCAGGTGATCAATCTTTGTTCAAAAACAAAAGGCTTCTATGAGGTCACATGTATCAATTTTTAACTTAAATTTTAACTTCTTACAGAAAAATCAGAGTTTTAATTTTTACAAACTAGAAACACCTATAGAACTAATCACACAGACCAAGAAACAGCACATCCCCAGCACCCCAGACCTCCCCGTCATTCATCCTACTGTCTCTATCTCACGTTCAAGGGTAATTACTGTAACGTGAGGCCACACTTTAAATCCACGTGTGGTCAAAGAATTTACTATAAGAGCTAAATTTGGGGGGTTTTATTTGCTTGTGTGTGTGTAAATATTTCTTCATTTTAATTGGACTTAGTTTGAGAGGGGAAGTTTCTGTTTTCTTCAAGTGTTTTATAAAAGTATTCAAAGCTAATCATTTTTTATATAATTCCTTCATCTTTGCCACCAACTCTGACGCCCCATCGCACATACACTGGTCTTCAGAAGTAACAGGTAGAAAGAACTCTGTTTCTGTCCACCACCATTATGTGTTCAAGTGGGAGCATTTCCTGTGATGTCATGTGTCTAATATCTGACCTAAGGAATGTGCCTCCATCAAAAATAGGTTATAAAAAAAAAGTAAGGAAAAGAAAGTGCTCCGCCCAGCTACCGCACAGCTGCCCTGGCCACAGCAACGCCACGGATTCCACCAATTCCAGTTTTTAGTCTGAGACAAGTTCTAGACGCTCATGGCAATGGATCTGGAAACTGCAGACCCCCCCCCCCCACACCAGGGCATTTAAATAATGTGATCATTCACTGTGGATAAGTGTCCACGCTTTTAAGTCACTCTGTGGTTAATTTTTTTTTTCCGCTAACTTCTGTCACTCCTCCGTTGAGCCACGCCGCTGCTGCCCATCCGTACGCTGCTTTCTGAAGTGTGTTCGCTGTTGTCTCGCTGTGGACTCAGTCAGTTTATTTACAACTGTCGTGTGCTTCTGCCACATCTGCATTGTCACTGTGATGGTATTTTTTTCTTTCTGTCTGTTTCTTCCACAGGAGTTTAACCAGTAACCTACCCAATGTGAACCTACCCAATGTGAACCTTCCCAAAGTACCAAATCTACCAGTTAACATCCCTCTAGGCATCCCACAAATGCCTACTTTTTCGGCACCGTCATGGATGGCTGCTATATATGATGCTGAGTGTGTATTCAGTTCACATTAGATCTAATTTAAATTTAAGTGATCTTGGCATGGATATGTCTTGTTTATTTCTATACATCCCATACAACAGAGATGGAGAGGGATAATTAGACATATTTTGCTGATCATACAGAGACAATATTGTTTATTTCGGGCTTGTAGCACGTTTGTAAGACGTTGGCTATATACAGCACCAACAATTTGTCTTACGCCCACTTCCTGAATTCTTTTGCAAAAAGATTCTGCCCATATTTTGGGTTTTGTTTTGTCTTGTTTTGTTTTTTAAGGCAGGTGGCTTGATTTTAGGAGTTATTCACCCAAAAATAGTCCAGGGACCCTCTTTGATGGGCTGGCCAGTCACCTCTGGCCTGATTCGAGTTTAAGAAGGAAGCACATCTAGCTGGAAGGTTTTTTAAAAATAAATAAATAAAGCCTAGAGACTGTTTAAATCATAAAGTATGTTTCTGGTGTCAGCAACCGGCAGGATATAGTAACAGCCTGTTCAGGTCTAAATGAAAATTTCTGAATTGATCAAGCCTTAGTCATGTAAATGTTATGTAAAGATACTTCCCAAGGTCATAATACAGGACTGAGTGCTGAGATCTAGGCAGCAAGACCTCGAAATTTGAGACTGCAAGATTTAAACACTAAATAATTTTGTTTTCTGGTAGCCGTGTCATCCGTGGGCTGAGCGTAGAGACAGTCTTTACATTCACCCACACCAACGCCAGGAATCCTGGCCTTTGTTTTCCTTGCAGGCCACGCCACCCCTTTAATGCCAGCCAGCAGTTTAGGGGAACAGAGGGTTAGCAGCCATTTCTTCTAAGGCTTAGGAAATGAATCCTCCTTTCTTCCTTAGCAAGAAGAAGATCCGGCACCTCTAAATTCCACCTCAGGGAAATGAAATTAGAACCACGTGCGTGATTTAATAAGTGAAATAAGGTTTAGCGATTCTGTGCCCTCCTTTGATCCTTTTCTTAGACCACAGCTAATTATAGGCCAGATAAGCTTTTTCTTGAAAGAATAAATTGGCACGTTTTCAAAGGGAAGTGTTATTATCAAAGGAATAAAAAATGATCTGAAACTGGCAGTGAGTTTTGAAATCTCGAAATCACATTCGTCAAGATGGCCCTCAACATCTCCATGTTCGCTGTAATCCAGGGAGCACAGGACATTACTGGGACTGCTCTACTCGGCTCCCCCGAAGCTGCCCGACACATATTTTTTTAAACCTGTGTTTGTTCACAACTTCACAATGAAATCATAGGGTTAATGTTTCTGATTCTATTTTAAAGGCAAATCAAAACCTCCAAAAATTTATACCTGAAAAAAAAATCTAAAAAACATAAATCATATTCATGCTAAGATGACTATATTAAAAGTTAGATTAGGTATTATCTGTTAATACTTTTTAAAATATCTGAAAGCTTCTCTTACCTTCTTCTGTGCATGCTCTGTGGCATTGTTTTTGAAAAGATATGAATCAAGACATTGTAATAAAGCAGATAATGGTCTCTGTTCGATTAATTAAGGCATGAGTGGGAACACATTTTGGTAACTGCTCAGCAATCAAAATAATCTTGGTGCTATTGCCTTAACATTAACAGTTTATCTTAAAAATAAGAAGAAAATATTCTTTTCCTCATGTCAAAACTTAATAATAAGCTCTTCAAAGAAAAAGAAAAAAACCCTAGAAGAATTTTTTGAAACTCCGAAACCAGATGGGTGTCAAAATGTTGTTGTAATAAATACCAATTATTGCATTCATATGTACTTAATGATTTAAAACATACAACCATGCAGTTCCAAAACGGGGTTTGGACTAGACAAAGTTGGGGTTTCTTCTTCCCAAGCCTAGGATGGGATGGGGGGGAAGATGAACTTCCACCGAGAAACAGTGTGTCCCCTACTTTTGAGCAACTCTTATGGCAGCGTCTGAAGAGAAGGCCTAGATTCTCGATCACCCACCAGGAAATGCCTGATTCTATATCTTTTCATAATTCCAGTTTCCTCCTTTGCCACCTTTCATTGAAGGACGTGTTTCATGTTACCTGCTCCTTGGTGTCAGACACATCTGCGTTCTGACCTCAGACTGGTCTGTCCTTGAACACATGTCCCTGTCGGTCGAGGCCGTAGGCTCCCTCTCGGCATGTTGGGAGAGCCCCCCCCCCCCCCCCGCAGTAGCTGTGTATGCATTCATGCACTAGCTATATTTCTCTCTGAAGCATTAATTCAATGCAGCTGGCATCTGTCACAATAGAAACACCCACGCTCATCTGTTTCTATAGACGATGTCAGAACAAGTGGTAATGCATGGTGTGTTGGACATTTTATAAATTACCGTGTTAGCATTAGTGGTATGCGAGGAAAGGGGTGGGAGGTGGCCACCCCTCAGAGCTCCAAATGGGATTGGACAAAAGAGAAAGCCAGCCAGAGCAGGGCAGAAGGGTGAGAAGTGGAGCATTTTCCCATGCGCAGGCTTCCCGTGGGTGCCCCAGGTAGAAGTTTCTCAGACGTTATTGTACAGAAAGGAATCAAGACCAGTTTCTCCATCTGGACTGGTAAGATGGTGCAATGGTTAAAAAAAAAAAAAAAAAAGCTCAGGTTCTGAGCCAGCTTTGCAAATATCCCTTGTCCACTCGCCTCCCCACCCCACCCCAACCTCGTCCTGGGGCTGCCTATGCAGTGGGCTGGCCTATTGGAATAACAACCAATCTGAACAAGACTCATGGATTCAAGGTATCCAGGTGTACTCGTCTCAATTTGAGTCACCCCAACTTCTTTCCAGCTCTTCAAGGGAGAAAGCAGGTCCTCGCTCACCACTTTGTTAGCACTGTCCTTTTAAAACTCAAAGTCTGTGCAATCTCCAAGAGGCCTCCGTTCCGGAGGGGAGCTGGGGAAATGCATGAAGCCCGGATTTTAATAACTGCATGTTGCCATGTAGTTATTATTTGTTGAGACTACTTCTCCCTCTGGTTCGTGGCCTTCATCTGAATCATCACATGTGTTAATGTGGTTATTAAAAGAAGGCTGATTTTTACCATACACTGTTCTCCTGGCCGCCACGGGGCAGCACGTTCAGACTTCTCACTGGTCTGGAATCACTGGCTGGACGGAGCCCACTGAGTCATGTATGGTAAAACTCAAAATCTGCGGGTGGAGAATGCCCCCACCTCCAGTGCGACACGCGTCGTTTTGTATGTTGAAGCCACTGTTTGCCTCAAGCCTTCTAGTCCCTGGATGTCTCTGTGTCAGCTTGTCAGAGCCCAGGGCCCGTGGGTGACTCGTGTTTCCATTTTTACCCTGCCAGTAACGGATCGGGCACTTCAGAAGATCTGTTCTGGAAGCTTGATGCCCTTCAGACCTTCATCCGGGACTTACACTGGCCTGAGGAAGAGTTTGGGAAGCACCTGGAACAACGGCTGAAGCTGATGGCCAGTGACATGATCGAATCTTGTGTCAAAAGGTGAGCGCGGTGCTGGGGGTCTCTGCACGCCCCCCGCGTGCGCAGGCTTGGGGAAGGGCAGGCGGCCGCTCCGTCCACGGGCCGTAATTTGGAGCTTTTTGGAGAAAGTGCTTGCTTGTCAAAGTCAGCTGCAGTGGGGGCCACCGAGTCCCAAACGAAACAGCGTGGCCGCCTGTTTATTCACTGAGCTCCGTGAGGAAGGCTCCACATTGGTTCTTGTTTGTCTCTGTCCCCCTGAGATCTAGCAGTGTCTGGCACAAGATACTTAGTAAATATGTTTTAAATGTAGGAGTGTATGCATGGTAGATAACTCAATGAAAATCAAAGAAGCACATCCAATTCCAGAGCCAGCGTGTCCAGTGCAGGCGGCAGGAATCGAGTGAGTTTCCAGCGTGTGGGCAGGGCCTCACAGCATCGCTCATTCCGTGTGTATGAAGCGAGCCTGCCCTACATGCCAGCTAAGAGTTGTCTGGTGAAAAATCTAACTAGATAGCAACAAGAGGGCACGAGACAGTTTGCCTGCTTGTCACTGTAGGGTATAGGAGTGAGGCTGCAGCCGCAGTTCCCAGGCAGACTATTCTGGAAGCAAGGAGAACAAAATGAGAACAACAGAAATGGTTTGAGCTCCTCCTGTGTGCAGGCACAGTGCTGAGCTCTTGGCGGACCAAGGGCTGCATCCTTCCTTGAGGAGTTTCTGTGTCTGCACATCCTCAGATTTGACACCATTATCATCACCCTGTCTATCCCCAGACACACGCCCCAGCACTTTTTCCAGTTAACAACTATTCCATTACTTTTTCTCATTTAAAAAAAAAAAAAAAAAGACCACAAGCATCACAGGCCACTCAGATCTCCAGATGTTATGTAGTTTAGTTGATGGACCAGTTGTGGGAGTTGGGAGCTGGGTTTGGCTGGGAGTGCTCTGAATTCATCATTTTATGTCTTGGAAAAAGAAAAGAGAAGTCGTAGCATCAAAACTGGAAACCAACAGGGCAGAAGAACGACACCGTCCCAGGTGGGTGGGCGTCTCGGCAGGAACTAGGGCAAGAACGACGTGCTGTGAGAACCTGGCCAGGTGGTTGCCGCCACATTGGGAAGCTTCAGGTCCCAGTGACCCAGATGTTGTGCTTTGTTCTTTCTTCCCACTCTTAGAATAAAGGCAGACCTAGTTCTCGAGCCCAAGGTCAAAATATTTCCTTAGAGTTTTGAATCTCACCATCTCTTACATAGTTTGTCTCAACTTTAGGAAAAGTCAATCTTTTCCTGTGGCCAAACCATTTCACAAAATATTGCTTGTGAAAGTAGTTCCACTGTGGCGAAGTGCCCTTCCCTGGTCTGTCGGAGGGGCTGCAGTGCATCCGAGTTGGGCTTACTAGCTTCTGATCTGTGTGCAGAAAAATGTGTGTGCCCTTCTCTGAGCAACCAGCCTGAAGGTGTGAAGGTGGATAGTGACTCCGTGTTATCCCTTACCACATGTCTTCAGGGGTCAGCCAGCTCAAAGAGTGTGAGTTCCTCAGAGACAGGGGGTGTATCTATTGCATTTTGAGCTCCTCACCTACCCCGGGCCCCAGCATCATGCTTGATACTTAGTAGCTGTTAAGTAACTGTTATTAGTAGAAGTTGGTCAACTGCACTTGTACACCTGTCCCTGGTGTCCCTTCCAGTTAAGGCGCTGGCCATAAGCACCATCACAGACAAGAGCAAACATAAGTGGAAATATCATCCCCAGACATCCAGAGTCAGAGGGTAAAACAGGAAGCAGTCTATGGACACAGAATCCACATGACCAGAGCCTAGAACCTTCGCTTTCCCCTCTGAGACAGAATACAGGGGGCTTGTTCTAGGATAACATAGTAAGGGCATAATTTCATAGAAGGAAATGTGCAGTGCCAAGGAGTCAATCAGGCACTCCTCATTTCCAGGTTTCTAAGAAACTGACATCCATCGTTTGATGAACTCATTCATTTGATGAACTTGACAGAGCCTCTAGTCTAGTCTATATCAGGTACTGTGCTCCACACAAAACAAGTTGCCCTAACTCTGCCGCCAAGGACAGTCAGTGGGACTGAGCGGCCTCTCCATTCCTGGCTTCTTGGTCCCGTAGAGCCTTCTTAGTCATATTAATTTTGTATTCCGCTTCCTCTTCACAGCCCCACGCTCTAAGGGCTACGAACAGCTCTCCTGTGAAAACAGACGATTACTTCATTGTAAAAAAATTGATTTAGCATTTCCATTTCTCAAATTGGGCCGGAACTGGCATGCGAGCCTCCAAAGGTCAGCACAGGGACAGGTCCAACCAGTCCCCATCAGGCCTCCTTTTCACAAAGTCAGAAAATGATGTGTTTTCAGCGTAGCTTAAAATGATCATCGTGATTAGAAAACTACTTCAGTGCACCGAGTCTGTAGAAGCCAAGATACATTTATCTTTAACATGATCATATAATATATAGGAGCGTTTTAAGGCATTTTTTAAAGTTGTTTTCTTAAGAGCTGGGCTTCCAACCTTAGAAATGATACTTGGCTTCCCTGCGTGCGCCCAGGGTGTGCTAGCAAGCTGGCACCCTTTCCCGAGCGAACGAGCTGTGTGGTCCCTCTCTGCACTGTTAGAAAACTGCTACAAATGCCTCTGAAAGCGCTGCTTTCCTGGTGGCTGCAAGATCTCCGAACCTGACCCTGAACAATGCCGAAAAGATGCATTGCACAAAAGGACTTTTAATAAAACCCCTGACTAACCAGGTGCTTTTCTCTGAAGCCATGTGATGATGTGACCCACTTCCCTGAAACCTTTTAAAATAGAACTGAGTCCCTTTGCAAGGCTGATATCAAGGATTAGGTCTCGCACCTGTAGAATCAGCTGGCCATGGCGCACCAAGTGTTTTCTAGGAGCATAGTTTGACCGAGGTCAGAATTATATCACATTAAATTTCCACCATTACACAAGTCTTGAATTGGTAAGTATAATACGATGTTTTTACTTAGAAATATATTCTTGTTGCGAAATAAAATATTGACTTTGCAGTGCAAACAAACACACAGGCGTAGTGGAAGCCCCCCAGTACCACATCTCCTAACTGGGCCCTCGTCAAAGGTAGCCATCTCATTTTTTAATCTTTAAAGCAATATAATAAGATTTTTGTTTTTTGGCTTGTTTGTTTGTTTTTTACTTCAGTCTCTTTCAAACCCGAAGTAAAAAAAAAGAAAAGAATAAATGTCATTTAAGATTTTTTTCCCACCATGAGATTTTGAAGATTAGAAACTGTTTTTTTGTTGTTGTTGTTGTTTGGTTAGTTTCTTTAAATGAAGTGATTCAAGGTGGGTAGTTGCCAATGTGAGAGAACTTACATATGCTATAATGCTATAATAATTGGGTTTTTGTTCATTCATTCTCCTGCAATTAGGGTTCTCCACCGCACATAAACTATAGACAGAAATGCGCCGAGCTACAGGTGTTCTGTGTGCTGCCGAGACAGAAGGGTGTTTGTGGCTGTCTCCCTGAATAGGCCTTCCTGAGTTGGGAAAGTCATTTTTAAAAAGAGCACATGTGAAGTCATTGTCGATTGAAACTGATTACAGCCTTCAATTTTTTTTTTCACTGACCTCTCAGAAAATGTCTCCTCCTCCTGCGGCCATCTGAATGCTGAATTGGTCTTTTCCTACTTTGTTTTAATAGAACCAGGATTGCATTTGAAGTTAAGCTGCAAAAAACCAGTCGATCAACAGATTTTCGAGTCCCACAGTCAATATGCACCATGTTTAATGTTATGGTTGATGCCAAAGCTCAATCAACAAAACTTTGCAGCATGGAAATGGGCCAAGAGGTAAAAAAAAAAAAAATACAGATCACCCCCCCACCCCCATCCCCGCTCCATTGATCATGTAGAAGAAAAGTTCACAACTTCCATCCATCTACTAGTCTGCTAGTTTCAGAAATATTCTCTAACATTTGTGGATTAAGCCACAGATGACTATTTGGTATCTGTTTGTTCAGTAAATGTCTCAGGCTTGTGCTAATGAGCATGCCAGTCACTTGGAAGTGATTCTTGGCTGGAGTTGGGGTGGCCATAAAGTTCCTTTAAGTCAAATGATGTTTGATGGTCTTATTTATTAGGCTGGTATCTCCAACAGATGTTTGCCAGAATGCAAGTCATTTTCACATTTGAAGTGCATTTTATCACTTTGAACATCTGGATAGCAGGAGAGCTCTCTTTTTCACATCAGGCATCTTCCAGGATATATAATGTTAGATCACCCTGCTACCCAGTCCCCAGCAGCAGGTTCTGAATTTTCAAGAAATCACAGATTTGAATTTTCGGGAGATTGAGTTGATTGTGAATCTTCCCTGACCGAAAGTTCCGTCCTTTGCTAAGTTTCCAGTTCCAAAGTGGCATTTAAAATGTAAAGGAGAAAGAAACAGCAACTTGGGCTTGATTAAAGACCATCGTGATCATTTTCTCTGATGGCCTTAAGCCAGCTAGATATTCATATACCAATTTAGAATTAATTCAGAAACATTTCTGGCAACTCTCATGTTGTTGCCAATTGGCATAAATTGCTCCTAAATCAGATCTTTCGATACCAGCCCTACATGCTCAGAATTTTTACTAAATTATATTTGCTCCTTATTCGCTATTTATTTTCTCTTTCAGCACCTTCCATTTTTAAATGTGGGTTGGTGGTATTCTTTTCCTGGCAAGATCATCTTTCCCCTTCTTTCCCCTCCAGATCAGCTTCCTCAGCCACTTTTGTGAGCCTCTGCCCCGACTGATTTTCTGGTCGGGGCCTTTCCCGGGGGGTCAGGTTCAGGCACTGGGGTCAAAAGCAAGGCGGCCTCTTTCCCGGCTCCATGTGCTGCAGGCAGATGATCGGAGCGGCGGCTTCTCAAACTTCAGTGTGCACCAGACTTATCCAGAGAGCTTCTCAAACCCAGGTGGTTGGGTCTCACCCCAAGAGTTTCCCAGAGGCCTGGGGTGTGGTCCACGAATCTGATTTCTGACAAACTCCCTGGTGCTACTGATGCCACTGGCCGCTCCGGAGACCACACTTTGAGGACCACTGGACTGGAGGTTCAGTGGCCAGCACTGAGCCGAGGCGCAGCGCACAGGCGTGGAGGGCAGCTCCTGGGGAAGGCCCAGGCCGGGGGCCTGCCCTGGCCGTGCCGCCCCTGGAGCTGGTCCAGTCGAGCAGCCGCTGCGGGCCTCGGTTTCTTCATCTGTAAAACGATAGCACTGTTCTAGTTTTATTCGTGCTGTTTTAGCTACAGAATCAATTCTTCAGACCTTACCAAAAAAGGCCAGCATGTGAGACAAATAAAATGTCTGGGTGAAGTGGGGGGCATCACCCACCCACACTCCTGGGTGACTCTGAACACTCTCTTAGGTTTCACAGAGCCCACTTTAAAAAACCTTTTTTGGATGATCTCTAAGAATCCTGGGTGATTTCCAGAATCCTGTCCCTCCTGAAATTTTCTCCCTCGGGAACTTAATTTTTTTTTTTTAATTTAGATATAATTCACATACAATAAAATTTACTCTTTTAAAGTATACAATTCAGTAGTTTTTGGTGTAGTCACAAAGTTGTGCCACCATCACCACAATCAATTGTAGGAAATTTTTATCATCCTAAAAAGGAACCCAGAGTCCAGCCTGTGGGGCTCCGGGGTTGAGCGTAGACCCAGGCACCAAGAGGTCCCCAGTTCGATCCCTGGTCTGGGCACATGCTCAGGTTGTGGGCCCGATCCCCCAGCGGGGGGCATGCAGGAGGTGGCCAATCGATGTTTTCTCTCATCGATGTTTCTCTCTCTCTCTCCCCCTCCCTTCTCTCTCTAAATTAAATAAAGAAAAGAAAAAAAGAAACCCAAAACCATTAGTATAGTTCCCCAACCCTGCCCTCCAACCCCAGGTAACAGCCACTCTACTTTCTATTTATAGAGACTTGCCTATTTGAGCATCTCATATAAATGGACTATGCTAATACGTGGCCTTTGTGATTTCTTTTACCTGCCATAACATTTTTAAGATTTATATATGTTGTTACATGTACCAGTACTTCATTCCTTTCTATAGCTAAATATTATTATTTTAGAGGGACCTACCATATTTTGCTTATCCATTCATCAGTTGATGGACATTTGAATTGTTCCCCCTTTTTGGCAGCCATGGGTAATGCTGCCCGGACAGTTGCGTGCAGGTTGCATGAGGCCCTACGCTCTCAGCTCTGCTGGCTTTGCAGCTCTGTGCACCTGGGAGTGAGACTGCTCAGCCATGTGGTCACTCTGCGCATAGCTTTCGGAGGAACTGACAAATTGTTTTCCACGGAGGCTGCCCCATTTTATATTCCCATCAGCAATGTAAGAGAAATCTTATTTCTCCACATCTTAGCCAATACTTCTTATTATCTGTATTTTTAAAATTATAACCATCCTAGTGGTTTCTCAGTGTGGTTTGACTTGCAGTGAGGTTGGTCATGTTTTCATGTGCTTATTGACCATTTGTATATTGTCTTTGAAGAAGGGTCTGTTCAGATTCTTTGCTCATTTTAAAAATTGGGTCATCCCTTTATTACTTGGTTGTAGTTCTTTCTATATTCTGGACACTAGATTAATATCATATATATATATATATATATATGATTTGCAACTATTTTCTCATATTGTGTAGGTGGTCTTTTTCACTTTTTTGGTAGTAATTCTTCAAAGCACAAAGTGTGCTTATGTTTTATTAACTCACCCATTGGAGTTTCCTGAGGCATCTGTTTCAACTGAGTTTCACAAGGGTACCTTATTCTAGGGTGGGGCAGAGTTCTCAGGCTAGGACCGGCCTCCCTTCCCCTGAGCAGCCTTTCCTGTCCCTCTTCAGATTGACATGGTTGTGGCCATGTTTAAAGGACTCCCACACACCGGGTCAGATGGCTAATTATTTCAAACAAACCAAGTCACTCTGATCTTAGCTTTTTTCTTTTTGAACTAGGGTTTGGGAAGAGGAGTTGTCAGGGGACAGGGACATTGTGGTCATAGACCCCAAATGAAAGTCTGATGAAATTTATGGGGCCATTTTCCAGGAAAAAATGCTTACATAATTTTACTCTACGGTTTCAGGGGAACTGTGGAGTTTGTTAGGCCAAACTGAAGACCCCAGATGGGAATATCTGATGAGAAATAACAAGTCCTCTGAGGGCCCTTGCTCTGTGGCATCACCTTGAAAACTTCAGTTGGAAGTCTCAGGCAAATGGTCTCTCATGAATGCTTGTCATTTTTTAAAATGGGGATATTCATCTCCAAAGTAAAACTGAGTAGTTAAAATGAGAGTGGCCAAGGGTGATGACCAAAAACATCCCAAAATTAGGAGAACAGATACATATCTGATTTTTTTTGTAGTTTTCATATTGTGCATATTTGATATTAAATTCATATTATAGATCTAGTTACCAATACCTGTTTCTACCTGGATTCCAATGCCATCAGTGTGTTTTAGACTAGATACTGGCCAGGTGATACAGTATTCTCCAATTTTAATATCACTTCCTGAATTTCATCACTGGGGTAAATTATCATCTGAAAACAGCTGTTGAAACATTTGTTAACCATACTTTTCCATCTTAAATATTTATTTTTTCATTAAAATTTGCAAAGCACCAATAGAGAGGAAGTTGTATATTAAATACTTTCTCACTTGGTCTAGTGTGTTTTCATTTCATTTCCAAGGTCAGATGGTCTTAACAGAAAGACAACATACACACAATCTGTTCCATGACAAGGCAAAATGTGCAGCACAGGAAGTCAAGTGGAATGATTTTCCATGACACGATTGTGAATTTGCCGCAACTTAACTCATTAGAAGTGAAAGTGAACTCCCCAAACTTTCCATGTCGTTGAAGATTAGGAGCTCCCTCCTGTCATCATGATCTAGGGCCCCAAACTATAATTTAGAAATGTTGTTGTTGTTGTTGTTATCAAGCCAATCCAAGAAGGCCAGCAGAAGGGACTAAAAAATATATAAATAAGAAAGATTCCTCTTTGTACCCAAATTGGATAGTTCATCTGACTGCAAAAAATTTTGTGACAAGATAATGAAGTTGGGCGGGGGGTGGTAATTAAACACTGTCCCAGTGGCATTTCTGCTCCTTCATGGAGCTTCACATCTGCAGGGAGCAATTCCTCTCCCAAGAAAGAGCAGGCCAGGGCAAAGTCAGCACTTACTATGGCTCCAGACACCAAGCTAATCCATAAGTCTTGGGAGACTCTGGTGAAACCAGTCCGTGTGTTTGGTAATTGCTTGTATAGGAGGATGCTACTTTGATAGACACTCCTTTGCTATGTGATAAGCAGAGTGGATATTACCCAGTCCTGCTATCTCTCCGAAGTAGGTTTCATTTCATTGAGATTATAATTGACCTACAAAAAAAGTATGTAGATTTTAGATGAGTTTGGAGAAATACACATATGTAACCACCATGCTAGTCATCAGTTGCCATATATCACTTCTAAGTTTTTTTTATTCCTCACCTGAGGATATTTTTCCATTTATCATCAGAAAGAGTAAGAGGGAGGGAAAGAGAAAGAGAGAGAGACAGAGAGAAACATTGATGTGATAGAGCCACAACGATTGGCTGCCTCCCACATGACCCAACCAGGGCTGGGGATGAACTGCAACCTGAGGTCCATGCCCTTGACCGGAACCAAAACAGCGACCCATTGGTCCGCGGGCCAACGCTCTAACCATGGAGCCAAACCGACCAGGGTACACTTCTAAGTTTTTAAACCATGTCTCCATGTATTGTTTCATGACTTTGTAATGATTTCTATATTCACAACAGGGATAATTCTAGCCCTGTTGAGATGAGGAAATAGACTAACGGAGATGACATTCTCAAGTTCCCTCTGAAAGTGAGAGGATTGAGCGTTGTCCCACGAACTGAGAGGCCCCAGTTGGATTCCCAGTCGGGGCACATGCCCAGGTTTTGGGCTGGATCCCAGTAGGGGGCGTGCAGGAGGCAGCCGATCCATGTTTCTCTTTACATCGATGTTTCTATCTCTCTCCCTCTTCCTCTCTCTCTAAAATATCAATGAAAACATATTTTTTTTAAAAAAAACACTTTTTTATAAGCAGAATAAAGGAAATGTGGGCAGGAGTGAAGATAAAATGTTCCTATAGAGGGAAATGGAGAGACAGCGGAGTGGACCTGGAGAGAGGTCGGGGCCAGATTTGGCCTGGGAAAATGGACAGGGTCCCCATAACCACCATGTCTCCGCAGACTTTTGTTTGGATTCCTTAGAGAATGAAAAGGCTTGAGGTTCCCCCACTTCTGAAGAGAAAGCTTGCTTGACTTTCAAGAGAGACAGTGTTCACTCCGCAGGACAGACCTTGCCTACATCGTTCTTGCAGGAGCAGAGAGAACACGCTCGCGGCTCTGTTTGCCAACCCAGCTAGGTCGTTTGAGAACATGTTTCTATTTTCAATGATGTTCTTTGCTTGTTTATAAGCCCCTCGTTTAATAGTTCATATTGTATTATTTTTGCCTACAACTAACTTTTCTGAGTTAGTTAAATCTCACAATTAATTTAATAAAGGTGAGTCCTTTATAACAATTCAAAGAAAACCTAGGCCGCCCTGGCCGGTTTGGCTCAGCAGGTACAGCGTCGGCCTGCGGACCAGGGAGGCCCGGGTTTGGCTCCCACTCAGGGCACGTACCTCGGTAGTCTTTCCCCGCCCCAGTTGGGGTCCTGTGGGTGGCAACCACTCGATGTGTCTCTCTCACATCGATGTTTCTCTCTCTCTCTTCCCCCCTCTCTCCCTTCTGCTCTATCTGAAGATAAATGCAAAAATGTCCTTGGGTAAGGATAAAAAAAAACAGAGAACCTAGGAGAAGGAGGCAGTTGTCACATGAGAAGGAAAGTGAGCCTCTGATTCTGGGTCTTTTCTCAAGACCTAAAAATGCTTTTGGAACTCTGTCAATATTCCTGAATTCCTTTGTTCTGACATCTTTCTGTGTTCCTAACACAGAATTCTGCAGATAGCTTTTGCATTTAGCTTCAGGTTTATGCCACTTCCTAGTAAATTCTTTCGTGAAGTTAACAACAGAGCCAACGTGGGTTCTGTTCACCAGGACTGATCACATGGGCCATTTGCTTTCTTATTTTTCTCTAATCAATTAAAAGAAAACTAAACTGAGATGACTGAGCCATAAGACCATCTCTGCCTACCCTCGTCTTCTACTTTATGAACTTGAACAAATAATATTGGAATTGCAGTTATAAGTGTTGATAAAATGTTTCCACATCTAGACCCTCACTAAATCTTCAAAATAGATCTATGATTCTGAAAGCAGGACTTCCAGGAAAGAACTTACCCTGTTTTTAAAAAAATAATAATAGCAATAGCTCTGGCCAGGTCATCCCGGCACTAAAAAGGTTACAGGTTCAATCCCCAGTCAGGGTGCATACAAGAGGCAACCAGTCGATGTTTTCTCTCTCTCTCTCTCTCTCTCTCTCTCTCTCTCTCTCTCTCTCCCTTTTTCTCTCTCTGGAATCAATAAGAACATATCTTGGGGTGAGGATAAATAAATAAAAATTATTAATAATAATCATAAAACAGACCTGCTAAATATCTTTATACAGGGTTCACCTCATTACCATTACAAAATCAGTAATTTGTACTGGCTTCTACCCTCCCACATTGGTCCTAGGTGGTAGTATTATCTGCTTTTTTACAGATGAAGAAACCAAACTATATTTTCTTAGGCAACATAACTAATCAATCTTGCACTGGAACTTTATCTAGATCTTCTAGTTACAAACAAAATTCTACTATGACTTTAAATGAATTAACCTAATTCATATCCCTTGACTCACATTCAATAATTCTGATTGCCAGTTATCAGAATATCAAACCACATTGATATGGCTTATTATTTTTGTATGTTTTCATAGCTTTTTGGATAATTTGTTTAATTTTTATTTTCTCATGTGTCCTGTAGTCCTAATTTTGATTCGCATTGTTCCTTTTTTTTTTCCTATTCCTAATTAATCATCCCTCTGAAAGTTTGCTAAAGAGTGGGTAAGTGCATTCTTCTTTCCAGATAGCAATGTTTTGCATTGTTATTTTTATGAAGGAAATATGGAGAATTCAAATGGATACTGAAATGATCTAATAAATGTCAAGGAGCTGGCATACAGTGTTTTCTGTTGAAATCGCTTTTTCTTTTCTCCTGGCATGTGCAGCAGATTTTTGTTTGTGTGGGGTTGTTTTTGCATTACTATTTAAATTGAATAACCGACAGCAGCAGTTAGAGCGATGGAAAAACTTCGGAGCAGTCTCATTAAGGCTCTGATCCTGGGTCTGCTCACCCATGAATGCAGAGAATGAGTGGCAGCCACCAGGGCTCAGAAAGAGACACTGCTGGGCACTGAGTCAACACCCTGAGATAGACGGGGCACTCTGAGCCATCAGTCCAAACAGACGAAGGTCTTGGAGCAGTTTTTGCAAAATCATTCACAGTGTATTGGTCAAATTCCCTTTGGAAGGATGCTACTCCCGAAGCCACATTCCCCAGCAGTTTTCCAAAGATAATTTTTCATCCCTGTATGAAGTTATTGTGGTAGCGTGCTTTGTAAGACCCAGATCAACACACGGCTAGGCTGCTAAGCCATCCGTGCAAGCTATTTGTAAATGTGTGTATTTTTCTGCACATATCAAAGCCATTGAAAGCTGTGGGTGAGGAGCAATGTGCCTGGTAATTTTTAAAGAGCTTCGGATCTCTCATCAAAGACCTGGAGTCAGAACCTTACAGCTGCTTCCGGGACGGTGGAAAGAAGCGGGGTCTGCAGACCAGGCTGTATTTATAAATTGCGTTGTCTGAAACTCACTGACAGATGCAATGCCGTCACCTCCCAAACATGCTAATATTTGTCTTTCTGTATTCTTTAGCATCAATACCATTCAAAAATAGACGAACTAATTGAAGAAACTGTTAAAGAAATGATAACACTCTTGGTTGCAAAGGTAACCTTCAGTTTCAGGTGAAATGTCTCATTGTGAACATTGCTTTGTTATGTCTGTATTCCCATTAAAATGTAACACGTTAAAAAGTTGAACTGGATACTTATATTTCTCAGGAAACAGGATTGTACGTCACCCAGCCTCAGCTCCGAATGATTTTTCTGATGGTTGCGAGCCGTGTGAAGATGAATCGATGAAGTGGCATATGTTAACTTAATAAGAATTTGTCCCCAAACGTTGCACTAGGTTATCTGGAAAATGTTTGTTTTGTTTTTCAGCATTGACAAAGTTAGATTTTTAAATACAGAAAGTTAAACGATAATAAGGAATTCTGCCATCATGAAAACCCCCTTTTCTCTAGTTTCGCATGCAGTGAGAGTCATAATAAAACATAAAAGTCAGATAAAGCTATTTCAGTCACCCTCATGAATTATAGAATTTTAACTAAGTAATGTTGAATGGGAAGACATTTATATTTGCCAGTGCTAAACTTCTGTTTCCCCCAAATTACTGATAAAATACAAATAAAAATAGATTGGATTAAATGTAGTGCTAATATGTAACGTAAAAACGGCTTTGCGCAGTTTTGGATTTTGAAAAGTGCATTTAATATTATCGCATGCTATATGCAACTCAATAATATTTTGTCACTTTGCACTTCTGTAACACTCTCTATTTGCAATCACATAATAATGAAGAGAAAGCCGGATAAGTCAAATATTCCCATGTAGAGGCAAAATCTCTTCCTTCCCCTGAGGCTGGAATCAAATAATAGAATGCAGACATGCAGAGGGCTCAGTGCGGTTGGGGAATGTTGCTCTTTAGGGTGAACAATTCTACTTTGAAATAATTTTTTTTTTCTTTTTTGCTGTCTTTACTAGTTCGTTACAATCTTGGAAGGAGTATTGGCAAAATTATCCAGATATGACGAAGGGACTTTGTTTTCTTCTTTTTTGTCATTTACCGTAAGTAAAGAGGTTTTTATTGTTGCTATTATTAAGGAAATATGGAATATTAAATGGATAAAATGAGCTAATGAATGGCAAGGAACTGACATGGGGAAGGGGTGCTGTTGTGGCATTTGGTCCCGTTTGCATGTGTATGTTAATTGCGGTAATCTATCAGTATATCCTAATAACGCGAGGAGCGTGAGCAGGGCATTTCATAGCAGCTGGCAACCCCAAACCATTTCTATTTCGCTTGTGAATATACGATATGTGTGCATGTATATGTATGCACACACACATATCTCCATGCGCTGGTATCCAAAGAGAATTGCCGGACTGAGCCTGCCTTAACTCTCTCAGGCAAAACATTTAACGTTTCTGAGCTACCGTTGCCTCATCTGTGAATTAATGTTAGAGGTTGCAAATGGAGACCTACAGGTCAGATAGAGCTTGTAAATGGGTTTTATTTGGTCCTCGCGGGGTGGGGCACACTTTTCTTAACGAGATTAGTTGCCACGCGGGAGACGTCAAAGAGAAGCCTGTGTTCTGGGGCTTCTTTGTGCAGTGTGGTCAGCGGCTTTGCCAAGGCCTGCCTGTGGGCACAGCAGCGGCCACTGGAGTCGAGTCACCATGGTCTGCACAGTCCAGACATGTGTTTCAGTTTCCTGAAGCCCCTCCAGGCTGTTCTGCTCATTCATAGACCCAGGGCTTGGGGGCACTTGAGGTTACAACCTCTGTTGCAGATGATCAAGTAGGTAGAAATTCTGAGAGGCTCTAATTCTGTGCCAGAATTGGGCCAGAGAAGTTAGGCTGTGGGCAGAAGCCAGCCTAGTTCTCTGTAGGTAAATGACTGTTCCCCGAGCCCCGAGACCCCTCCCTGTGCTAGGCGGGCGCTGCAGCCGCGTGCTTTCTTGCCGTTTCTGGTGCCGGGGTCTTGCTGGCTCTGAGCCCAGCTGTTTTCCTCTGAGAGTGGCAGGGAAAGGCAATTTGGGACCCCTGTCTTCGGGTCTTTACTCGATGAAGAACTTCCTAAAAGGGCATTGAATGCCAAGACAAAGCTCAGCACAGGGCAGGGGGTAACACATCATGGTCTTTGGAATCCACCAAAATCGGGTTCAAATCCCATTACCCATATTAACCAGCTGTGTGACCTTGAGTCGGTGTCTCATCCTCTCTGAGCCTCATCCTCTCTGAGTTTTGTTTTAGTTTTGGTTTTGGTGTTAGGGAGGTATGCTGTTGTATCACTTTGCTTTGCGTGTGTGTGTGTGTGTGTGTGTGACCTGCAGTCCAACTACCAGTGTTGTGTGGAAGTGGGGAGTAAATAATGTCTTCCATAATGGGCTTTTTGAGGCTAATAATGTAAGTGAACGAGCTCAGCATAGCCCTAGCACATAGTAGGCCCCAATAAATATAGCAGCTATTATTAATAAAATATCTAATATGTTTACTATATAGTGCAGACATACATATACACAAGTTCTTTCCAAACATGCCCTTCTTTGGTCTTTCCCAATCCCATACATTAGATTTCCTGGGAATTAAAGGAAATGTAGACAGAAAACATTTAAAACAGTTCTAGGTAGCATCCTCGTATCTTCATGCCCAACTTGTTTTGATATGCAGCTCTGACCTTCCCAGGTGTGAGGACTGAACTAACGTCCAGAAAGTGTGATGACCCCAGTCCCTGGATTTATTGGCAAAGGTGGGGTGGGAAGAGGATGGTGACAGAAGACATTTTATCCGGTTTCACTCTGTAGAACCACCCATAACGTATCACAGCTGAAAGAAAACCTATCCAACCCACTCCTTTGACAAAGAAAGAAACCAAGGCCCAGAGAGGGGGAGTGATTTGTCTAAGGTCACACAGCAATGGGCAGAGTGGGGACAGGAACCCAAGTCTTCTGCCAGCTTCTCCCCACCACTGAACAGCTTCCTGCAAAGAGTGGGATTCAGCTGGCACTTGCCTGGCACTAGAAGGCAGATGGGCAAATGAGTGGGGAAGATGTATGAAGAAGGATTCAGGGCACAAGAGTGGGAAATATTAAATAATCATTCATTCCTCGGTGAAGTCATGGAAATGGTGAAAAGAGGCAGAATTAAATGCAACAGTTCTAGAAAACGTTCCCCTGACACCCACAAAAGATGCCACTTGCTTTGAGTCTTCGTTTTGAGCAACTGTTGTACTGCACCAGGCTTGGGCCAGGAAAACTCCTCTGCAGTGTCCTGAGCAGAATCCATCCACCAATGGCCCTGCCCCAATTCCTGACTTAGTCCCGGTGGTCCGATGACAGCAGTGTCAAGGGCAGGGAACCAGGCAGGTTCTCGCGAAACAAAGGATACCTAGCAGAACTTATGCAGGAGTTTTCAAGCTGAAATTGTCATCCTCTCGTCTCCCTTTTCTGAGACATTTTGCAGCCACACAGCATGCCTAGTGAAGTCCTCGCCACTTCCCAACACCTCGGTGCCTGTTGCTGGGCCTGTAAGCTCCCTTCCTTGGTGACACTGCTCCCACACACTGGGCCACCCCCGGGCCCAAAGCACCCACTTATCATTTGCAGCCTATGATCTCATCTCCTGCTGGTGCTGGGAGGTGGCGGGGATATCGCCACACGTGGATTCTGAGCTCCTGCCCAAATTTGGAAGGGCGTCTGGAGGCTTCTCGCAGCCCAGCGGTGCGGGCTGCCCTGCAGGTGAGAGGGGCAAGCAGAGGCCACAGGTGCTGCGGGAGGGGCCTTGCCAGCGTCAAGAGAGAACCAGAAGTGAGTCCTGGGACCCAGGACAAAGGCGGAGAGATGGGGCTGACACCCTGGCCGGGTTCCCTTATCTGCGCTCCCGTTTCTGCTTCAATTCTTCAAGTATTACTGTGCACTTACCACGTCCCCACCTCAGCAGGGCTGCCAAGTATGAGCCATGTGCTCTGCCCCCCAGAAAGCTGACAAGTATCGACAAATATGCCACCCTTTCCCCCTCTTTCTCCCGCTGAGCGCCTCCTTTCCTGGGTGGGCTTGATTTCATGGTCCAAGCCAGACATTTTGGAAAACGTCTGCAGTGGCACAGAGCAGGCAGGAATATTTATTTCTCGTCTCCATCTGCATTGCTTCCTCTCTTGGAGAGGAGCTGGGGGGAGGAGGGAGGATGAGATGTGGCTTCTTCGTGCCAGCCCGAGGCGCCCAAGCGCACCCCGCCCCTCCTGCCTCCCCAGCCTCAGCAGCAGTAGCAGCCTGGGATTTATGGAGGCAGGCGCCTTTGGAACTTTGGAAAGATCAGCCCAGTTGGAAGTCGCAATTAGCAACTATCCGCCCATTTCCCCTGCCTGCAAGATGTGCTTTTGTGTGGGTTGCCTGCTTGCAAGAGTCCCTGTTGGTAGGTAACTTCACGCTGTGCTTTTAGGAGGCCAAGAAGGGGGACAAGTAGGTGCCCAGGTCCCTCTCCCCAAGTTAAAAATCCTTCCCTTGGTTCCCTGCAGGCGTTAACAGATGCTGTTCGGAGTCATTCGTTCATTCCTTCCTCCATTCACTGTGGATTCACCCACCCAGCGCGTACTTACCCAGCTCCTGTGTGTCGGGCACTGAGCTGGGGGCTAGGCACACGGTCTCTGTCCCTTTGGAGCTTACATTCAGGAGAGAAGAGAGACAATAAAAAACTAAAAAGAATTAGAGATACAGGAAGTGCTGACAGACCACAAACGGGAAAGAGGGAGAAAGGCGGAAGGCAGGGGTGGCGTTGCTTTGGCTGGGATGGTCTCCAAGCTGAGACTAAGTGGCCAGCCACGGGAAAGAGGTGGGGACCCTCTCCTGGACAGATCAGCTGCAGTGGCTGGGAGGCAGGAACAGAAGGACATTATTGCCACATATTCTGCAGGTAACAGAAACAGGATGTAGGGATTGAGAGGAAGTTGGAGGTGGGCCACGGTGGAAAAGCTGAGAACTGTGATGTCCTGAGGAGCTCGGCTGAGCCGAATGAGTCCTGAGAGTCAGTGGTGTGTATATAGTAAGGAGCCCAGAGCGGACCCTGGATGGCGTGACTCGGTGGTCAGAGCATCAGCTAGTGCACCGAAGGTCGTGAGTTAGATTCCTGGTTACGGGCACATACCTGGGTTGCTGGTTCCATCCCTGGCCCTGGTCGGGGTCAGGCAGGAGGCAACCAATCGATGTGTCTCTCTCACATCAATGTTTCTCTCTCTCTCTTTCTCTCTGTCCATTTCTCTTCATCTCTCTCACCTTCCTTCCCTTCCTTCCACCCTTTCTCTAAAAAAAAATCAGTGGAAAAAATATCCTCAGGTGAGGATTAACAATAAATGCCCAGAGTGGGGAGACCTGGGAGACCCAGCGCTGCCCCTCACCAGGGAGGTATGTGGCCTGGACACGAGGTCAAGGCCTGGCTTTTACTCCCCTTCAGTGTGCTATGACGCCAGTTGTGTGGGATGAAGTCCCAAGCCTAAAACAGCTCCTATTCTTTAAGCACTTGCTAAGTGCCTGGCACGGGGCTAAGTGCTTTAAATAGATTCTTCTTGGTGAATCCCCTGAACAATGCCGTTCCAGAACACCCTTCCACAGATGATGAAACCGGCTCAGAGAGGCAAAGCCCTCCAGCTCCACCAGCGTCCACCCTTCCTCCCAACTGGAGCATCCGGGACGGGAGAAGATGTGGGAGACGCCCACCTCCCCCCTGGCACCAAACAGTTACATCGACTCCTCTGAAGCTCCCTGGAGTTCACCCAAGATCCCCCGCCCACCAAATCCTTTTGAGATACTCACAATACAACATGGAAGCCCCTCCGGACAGGGCAAGAAAGTCCATTTTAGGTTTCTCAGGGACTCAAACCCCATTATATGTCCAATCTGCTAGACCTCAACTTACTCACATTCAGGCTTTTTTCCTTTTGCCAACATTTTGTTTTGCCACTTAGAAATGAACAAAAAATAGGCAGGCTTCTTCTTGCTAGAACCCACGACAAGGGCCGGTGTTGGCATAGATCCACCGGCTGCGTGGGCCACTTTTGTGCAGACCTCTTGATG